GGCACCTTTGCAGCAGTGAGATTGTCTTTCTGTCATCTCTTATTTACACTATGCTTCTTTTTTTTTAAGATAATACCATGGATCAGTGGTGTCACACTCACATAGAAAGAGCTGCCACTGGCTGCATATTGACTTAGAAAACTACCAATTGATATAATCGTATTGTATTTTTATTAATGTTGTTAAACAGTTCCCAATTACATTTTAATCTAGTTCAAGTTTGACAACTCTGCCTGTGTGATGTCCCTTATATTACTTTTTGCGCACATCATTGGTAATAATGCCACAACCTATTTATGACCATCAGGCACTTCTCTATTGCCTTTGGGAAAACCCACTATTTTTAATACATTCTAGCAACTATTTTTTTTTCTATTCAATTCTGGACCTGCCTCTTTGTCCATCTACAGTACCTTTGTTGATATATAAGCAGGTCAACCTGATCAATGGGTGTCTGTCCAATTAAACATCAGTTTGGGAAATGCACATTTTTACCCATTTGTTTTTGTTTTTTCTCATGTTGATTTTAGGTCAGTCTTTTTAATTTTTGCTAGTCCTATATGCCTATTTTTAATCTCTATAAAATCTTTATGAAAATGACCACGCACATGAAAAAGAATAACCCTACTGAAAATATAGAAAGAAAATTAATAGGAAGGCTTTCACAAGCAATTTTTATCTTCCAGGTTGTACATTTGACTATGAGGTGTAATAAGTAGAAGAAATTGCTGTATTTATTGTTTGTTAATTACCAAATTAAAAAAAAAATAAGTAATGACGTAAAGGCTCTCCTCTAACAAAGAGTCTTCCAGACATATGTTAATACCATTTCTAGTTCTACGATAGATTTAGTTATCAAAATAATGTTGACCAATTACTCTATATATGTGCTCAGTAAAGGTGTATACCACTTTTTGAAAATGCAGAATTCAAATGGAAAAGCCAATCATTACACATGGTGAGTTTTCAAGATGGTTTTGCTTTCAAATGATATTTTGTTGATTACATCAAAATGAAGGATGTTACAAAGCTTCCTAAATGAAATTTACTTTGTACCATGTGCCATAAAAATTTTGCCTTGATGATAGAGTTGAACTTTAAAAAACTGAATCATGAAGACATTAGAAGAAAAGTGAATAATAATTTTATCACAGTTGTGGAAAAGTGAGAAAGAAGAAATTTGAGGGAACAAGTTTAATAAATTTGATTACATGAAATTTTAAAAATGATTTCTAATAAAATAGTATAATAAAGATAAAAATAAAACAGATCAGGAAAATATTTTGGCAAATATAACAAATATAAAATTAGTGTTGAAAATATATAGGAAGGCAGCTTATGTAAGTATGTTCCAAGGTAACACCATTGTTCTAACTGATATGAATTAGTCAATATTGGATATGTGGCCAAAAGCTTTAAAAAATAGGATACACGTTTCAGATGAACACTTGAAATAGTTTAAATTTCTTAGTAATCAAGTAAATATATATTAAAATAACTTGAGGTAATGACACCTACCTAAAAGTGAATTAATTTACTTACATTTATTTAACAAATAAAGTGTGTGGGGAGAGAAGCTGGATGGATATATCTTTTGAAATTCCAAATTGATAGAATATTTTTGGACATAATTTGACAGTGCCCCATACGGATTGTAAAAATAATCCCATCCTTTGCTTTAATAATCACCTTCAAAGGATACCTCTAAGAATAATATTGCAAAAAAAAAAATTGGTATCTTTTCTGACATCTATTAAGGTATCAGAGATTTGTACTATCAATGGAGTGTGTAAATATGTAGGTATTGAATTATCAAAGTATCTTTCAGAGGCATTAATAGCTACATTAATTATAATTGCAAACAGAAAAAAATAAAACTAGACAATATCTAAATGTTCAGCAATTTGGGAATGTCTAAACAGGCAGAAACATAGCAATGTAGTAGGATACTCTAAGAATGATCAGTATTTTAAAAATAAAGAAATATAGTAATACATGAAATTATGTAAAGATAACAAAAATAAAGGATCAGTGTAAAATTGACTATGTATAGGACCTGTATACACAAATTTGTGACTAAAAATTAAGTACTTAATATGTTGAAAGCATTAAATTAATAAAAGCATTTGAATGAAAAAATTTATTAGGTTCTTACTATGTATCAGGTATGGGGCAAAACACTGGAGATATTACAAAAGCAAGATAGTTACTGCTCACAAGTAGGTTGCATTCTAATAGGAGGAGACAATACATACTGGGAAGCAGTAGCCTTAGCAGGGTGTTTTCCTTGGAAAAGTGGAGATGGTGAGTGGAAATATAAGGGAGGCAACTGATAAACCCTTTCTAAAAGCAATGGAAGTGTTGATTCACTTATGGTTCCTAGGGCAAGATGCAGAAAGGGGGTTAAAGTTAAAGGTAGGGGAATGGTGATACTATCATGTGCCAGTGACAGTTTGGATGACAAGAAAATGATTAAGGTAGATAGCTGAATAAAATGTAAAGTGAATAAAATATATGTGATATTAGATTGCCCATGCTTCTATTCATCCCTTTATTGATAATAATCAAGAATTTATGGTACATAGGTACATAGATACATTTTAGGTACATTTATAGTCACATTTTTCTTTATGAAAAGAATGAAAAACCAAAGGGCATAATAACCCTATGTCAAATGAGGTAAAATTAAAATAACCCCATTTTTAAAAAAATATACATTCACAAGTAATGGTGGTATAAGGGATGGAAACAATAAGAGATCTTGGGAAAGAAATTTAATAACTGAACAAGAATCATCTCTCAGCCATACAGCTGACAGACTTTTCCAGGAAGACTTCTAGTTAAAGGAAATTAATTACCTAATGAATCAGCCCATTACAGGCTTTTGACAGTTTTAATCATTAAGAGCTAACAGCAGGCTAAGAAGAAGTCTAATCCCTTGTCCACATGGAAACCAGTGAAGTTAATATAAATATTATTAATAATATCCTTCTCCAGAGTTCTCCACTATAGTTTCATTATAGCAAAGAGGTAGCTTTAGGTTCTTCAAGGCCATGGAAAAGGAGCATAATCTCTGAAAGGTTCCCCACTGCCCCCGAGTACAAAGAGGCTGACATATCATCTTGCTGGTCACAGGGCAATGGTTTTTTTGGGGGAGGTTTAAGGGGATTTAGCAACTCTCAAAAGACCATCTGCTCAGTTGTAAAGGGGTGTTTTAAAGGTTTACTCACGCCAGCAAAATCTTATATTCTTGAATATCAGAGTATGGAATGTTTCATGGTAGTTGAGTAAAGAATATGGAGAGATTTCCCAATTATCTCCTCCAGATGAAGCCCTTCCAGGTGACTGTCTTATTGGCTTTGAAATAAAATCCAGAACATTAGGCACATATGTTTAGAAGCATAGATAGAGATATATTTTAAAGCTGAATGTCTAACTCTAGGTGTATGTCTTAGAAAGCATCTCTGAGTATATGTTTCTGTATATGTGTGTGTGTGTGTGTGTGTGTGTATGTAGAGCCTATCTTTATTACATGCGATATTAGATTATCCATGCTTCTATTCACCCCTTATTGATAATAATCAAGAATTTATGGTACATAGGAAATATATTAATATTTTAGTTGAATAAGAAATTATCATTCAACATTATATATCATAGAGAGGCAACATGACATAAGTACTATTATAGTACATAAGTACTATATATATATATATATATATATTTATACCTTACGTTTTTATTTCTTTTCTCTTTTCCTCCATTTTTATGCAGGGTTGAGAATATTGGGTCTACATTACATGTCACTCCCCCTCAGATACAAAGCGAAGAATCAAGTTTTATCTTGGCACTTTAAAAGAGAGATTGTTGTGTCTGCTTTCCCTGAAATAAAAGTTCAAAAGAACTGGTGTGGTTCATGGTGCTAGGGGGAAAAACAAAACAAAACAAAACAAAAAACCAACTTTGAGTGAAATTTTAAGAGCTGGTCTTTAATTGTATTCTTAATCTAAATATAGACCCTAATTTCCTAATATTCATATAAAATATAGAAAATCTGAGATATTTGAGTTAGATCTGAAAAAAATCTTCTCTAGTTTACTAGAAATGCAAGGTGAAAATATAGGATGAATTTTAAATGTTTAGCCTCTGTATTTTTTTAAACATGAAGTAAATAGCGCTTTGGGAGAGTTTTATAATTCTCTGTAGAAAAAGAGAAGGAATATTAAAATTATAAAATACTATATACATAACTCATTTATAATATAATATCATTTATATAATATTTTATTGTAATACAATATAATTTTATGTTGTGTTATAACTTATATAATTAAACAAATGAATATATTTTAATATCATAACAGTTAGTTTTGGCATGTTCCTTTGTATTATAATTTTTTTTCAGGATTCATGGCAATACATCACACATTTATTAACTGCCTGCTACGTGCAGAACATGATGCAAGGCTCTGGGGATTCTGCAAATTTAAGTTGTCGCTACCTTTGTGGAACCTAAAGGTTATTGGTTATTACACATAACAAATAACTAGATTACAAAGGAATAATAATTGATAAGGACATGAGAGAAAAAGGTATTATCCACTGAATGGAGGCATCAGAGAAGGGAAGAATTTCCTGGAGGAGGTAATATTTAGATTGACATATAGCAGTTTTATAGTTGGAATAAACAAAAAGAGGGCATTCTGGGCATAAAGAGCAGGATGAGAAAAGGTACAGAAGAGAGAAATGAGGAAGTCTGTGTGGGGAAGAGTGAGTAATTAATTTTCATTAGAATTTCCGGGTCAGATATCTTCCATATGCCAAAAACTCCATTCTCATTGCATAAATTAGTTACAATTAGTGATATCCACAATGCATAACATTTAATAAGTAAAAGTTCCATTTTGTAAAAAATAATCATATACATTAGAAATAAAAAATAATTATATAGTAAGTAAAAAATGCTTATCAATTCCGTTCATTTCCATATGTGTTTACAGGAAGTCCAACACAATTGCCAACTTCATAGGATATCATTTTGTGCAGATGATAAAACTGACAAGAGGATATTTACTTTCATATGCAAAGATTCTGAGTCAAATAAGCATTTGTGCTATGTATTTGACAGCGAAAAGTGTGTAAGTATGCCAATGTTTTAGAGTGATTTATTCCGTTTTATGAGTACATGAATTGGCGTATTCCTAACAAAATCAAATTATTTGAAAGAATAATGCCTGAAGATAAAGACTCATCATGTCATGAGAACATACAGCAAAATCCCTTGCTTAACTAAATTCTCATGTTCATTGATACATGAAGACAGGCAAATTCACTTTATCAGAGAATCATGCCTATGTTATGTATTCACTTATTTTATTTAGTAAGGAGTTTGCATGTGTTTTTATTTCATTTCATAGAGAATGAATTTTGAAAATTTTTTCTTGGCATGCAAATATTGACCAAATGGCTAGGTGGATCATCAAGATATGTTGCATTTTATTTCATGATTTTTAAAATACGAGACTTTAGGGAAAGAGCTGTATTGCCTGAAAATACTACTACTAATAAAAAACTATGGTTATTTTTATTTTAATGCCCTTTCATATGCTTAACTACATAGGTTCAAAAATGATAATATAAACATGTAATACTCATAGACACCTAATGCTCAAACACCAAATAATAGAAGACATAGAGGACTAGAATTAGAAAATTATTGAGTCAGATCCTATGATGGATAATTATTTGGTATCTAAACTTGCCCTTTGATATCAGGAACAGGTAAAAGAAATTTTTGACTGATCCTGAATTCCTACTAAAAAATATAAGTAGTTAATTTCAAACATCTCATGCTTTTAACATAATGTCAGTAATGAAGGCAGAGCACTTAATGTAACAGATGATTAACTTCGGCAGTAAACAAGATCTGATTAATTTGGTTGTTAATTATTCTTACCTGCTGCCAACGTTGTCTATGGACTGATATAAACATTATCATTTACCTTTTATGGCTTTATTGCCAAGTGCTGTGAAGTTTTTATAAACTTAAACATAAATATAAAAACATATAAACATAAACAAAAACATAAAAAAGGGCTGGTCAGTGTCCTTAAATAACATAGTCATTGTTAGAAAAGAGGCTGTCAAATCAGTAATATATGGATTCTAAGTGTGGATATTTGTTTAGAATCTTGTTTTGCTTTATGTATTTATTTTAACTTTGTGATTGTACTTATTTTTGGAGGAAAGAAAGGTAACAAGTGGTGACAGAGAGACAGAGTTAACTAGAACTATGTCCTTTCTTGATGAGCTGACTTTCTGTCAGCTGTATCACCTTTTTTTCACAAGTAAAGCTGCCCATTCAGACTTAGGCAGTTGATTTTTTTAATCAACATTCTCAACTTTGTAATTTACCCTATCCTATTCCTCTGTCAACACTTGAATTAAATTTAGTAAAGATTTGTTAAACATTTACTTTGTGCCAGAAGTTGTGATAATATTAGATTTGGCCCATTATTTCAGTCTATTAAAATGTGTTTGTATGTCGATTCTGTAAATCAATGTAAATTAGCTATGCCTCCCAATTTTATATCATCTAAAAGTTTAATGAGATTTTCTATATTTTTATCTGTTATTTGTTTTAAAATATTAACAAAATAGAAACAGTGACATTATCTAATGTCACACCAGTAGGAATGCTTCTTTTGGTTGATATTGATTCATTAATAACAGAAATATGCATGGGCACATTTGGGTACACTTATTAATTTTTTTATTTTTTCTTTATCTTGTCCATAGCATATCATGAGAAACTTATTAAATGCTTTTCTTGAATAAAAACCTATTGCACAAAGACATTTTTCTATTCTACTTGTCTAATAACACTATCAAAAGGAAATGAGGTTGGGCATGAATTGGTCTTAATGAAAACATTTTAGTTCCTTGAGATCACCAATGTCTCTAATTGCTCACAAACCATCAATTTAATAATTTACTTTAGAATTGCTCCATTAACATTACACTTACTAGTCTATACTTTCTGGGATCTTCTTTTTATCTCTTTTTGAAAAGTAAAACAGTTAAGTCAACTGGCATTTATTAAGAACCTACTATTTGCCAGGCACTATGCAAAAGAAAAGGAAACAAAGAACAAACAGTCTGATAGGGGAGGCAACATACAAACAAGTTTGTATACAACCTATATACAGATTACATTAAGGATAGTCTGAGAAGGAAGGCACTAACATTAAGGAAGAGTGGGAAAGACTTCTTATAGAAAGTAGGACTTTAGCTGAGACTTGAAGGAAACCAACGAAGCTGAAAATGGAGATGAGAAAGGAGAATATTCCAGCATGGAGGATAGCAGTGAGGTGCCTCAGTGGATAGAGCACTGGCACTGGAATCAGAGGACCAGAGTTCAAACTGGACCTCAGATACTTACTAGCTGTGTGACCTTGCATAATTAATTTAATCTCTGTTTGCCTTAATCCACTGGAGAACGAAATGCAAACCACTCCAGTATATTTGTCAAGAAAACCCTATGGACAATAATGGTCCAGAGTTGGACACAACTCAAGAACAACATTTATTAGGACAGCTAGGTGGCACAGTAGATGAATTGCCAGACCTGGAATCAGGAAGGGCGGAGTTCAAATGCGACCTCAGATACTTAACTAGCTGTGTGACCCTGGGCAAATCACTTAATCCTCCTTGCCTCAGTTTCCTCATCTGTAAAATGAACTGGAGAAGGAAATGGCAAACCACTCCAGTATCTCTGCGAAGGAAAACCCCAATTGGGGTCATGAAGAGTCTAAAAATGAACAACATGACTAAAAATGAACAACAAAACAATAGTTAAAATGCTTCCAGTTGGGAGATAGAGTATAAAGTGTGAGGAATAATCACGAACTCAGTATCACTGGATTGCACGGTACTTCGAGGAGAGTAATGGGTAAAAAGCCCAGAAAGTTAGAAAAAGACCTCAAAAGCCAAACAGAAGAATCTGTATTTGATCCTGGCAGTAACAGCATTAATGAACGGCCTTCAGGCATGTTTTCCTATGGGAGTTCTTCTATCATGTCTGTAGGGTTCTTTCATACCCTGGATTGTAATTTATCTGGCTCTAGAGACTTAAATTTGTTTAAATCACTTAGATGAGTTGGTAACAAACTACCCATTTTCAATTTAGTTCCCTTTTTAATAATGTTTTAACCTATTCATTTTGGTGACATTGTGCTGATCTAGAAAATGGAAGATAAAAAAAAAGAACTTGGAAATAAAAAAATAAATAAAAAAGAAACAAAACAAACCTGAATGTCCTGTCTTTTCTTAGTCATTACAACAGTTCTCTTAAGCAATCCCTTATTAGTTATTTTAATTAATAACAATATTATGAGTACTTATTATGTGCCAGGCCCTGTGCTGAGATATTTATTATCTCATTTAAGTCTCACTATACCCCTGGGATGTAAGTACTAGTATTGTCATCTCCATTTTACAATCAGGAAGACTGAGGTAGACAGAGATAAACTGACTTGCCCAGAGTCACACAGCTAATATTTGTCTGAAGTCACACTTGAACTTAGGTCTTCCTGTATACACTGTGCCATCTAGCTGCTCCATATAGTGTAGACTTAGAGTCGTAGGACCTGAGTTTGAATCCCTCCTTTGCTGCTTACTACTTGAGGGACCCTGGGCAAGACACAGCTTTTCTGAGTTTCAGTCACTTCATATTTAAAATGAGGGAATAGAATAGAGGGCCATCTGAGATCCCTTCCAACTCCAAATCAGTGGTTCTATGTGGTCTTTTATTTATTTGTATAATGAACTCCCTGTCAGAAAATGGAGAAACAGCAAAATAAGATTTGGTGTCCTCAGCAACACAGGAGAAAAGATAAATACATCCCAGGAGGATTAGGACCTATCCAGCGCAGTCCTTTATTAATCATCCTCCAACACTCTAGTCGTCTTTTGCTACTGTCTATTAGAGGTCATCACCTAGTTTTCCTGCTGGCTCCTAAAAATGAATGCCCAAAATAGAAACCCAAACAGAACACCTAATCTAGTGCCCCAAACCTGGAGTTCTAACTTCTGAGTTTCAGCTTCCTCAAGGTTAAAATGATGATAATAATATCTGTAATTATTCTTTGGTCATTTCCAACTCTTTGTGACCGCATTTGGCATTTTCTTGGCAAAGATACTGGAGTGGTTTGCCATTTGCTTCTTCAGCTCATTTTATAGATGAAGAAACTGAGACAGAGTTAAGTGACTTGCCCGGGGTCACATAGATAGTGTCAGAGGCCAGATTTGAACTCAGGAAGATGAGTGTTCCAGACTTAAAGCCCAACTTTCTATCCACTGTAGTACCTACCTCTCAAAGTTCCTTCCAGCTCTACATCTATCATATGGCATGGAAGGAAATGAAGCTCTTAGACTGCCACTTGGTCCTCCTTACTGGTGGACAAACCTCTCCCCTTTCCCTGTCATACAGCTCTCTCGTGATATAATTTGCACAACTTCTCTTAATGTAGTTTGCAGCCAAAATTATATCTGATTAAATGTGTTTTGTCAGAGTCTTACATTTAATTTCATAAAAATAATTTTTAAAGTAATGTCCTATTTAACTTTCCTAAAGAAGGTATTTTATTTTTAATGAAAAATAAAGATGGGTCACAGTAGTAGTAAGGATTTAGTTATCTCCTAGGGAAATCAGGTCTTTTTTTCTTAGTTGATAACCAATTATAGTAAAGACATGGACTGCAATCAATAAATATAGTGTGGATTTTATGATATATTATATAATTGAATATAACTATATACCTATAATTATATATATGCAGAGGAATATTAATGATTGAGTTGGTATTTCCTACAGTGTCCATTCTAATGAACAAGATGTAATGAAAACTTTTGTAGATGAAGTTACTAATTACAGTTATACAGCTGGGATTCCTTTAGATATGCCAAGCCAAATGTAAAAGAACAATTAAGAGCAATGATTAGTATGATTAAAATTATTGACAATGAAGGAATGTATTATCAAGAGAGAAAATAGCAGCAACATCAAGCTTTAAACTTTGTATCTCAGATTTATTTTAGGTGTTGATCATTTGAGGAAAATCCCTGGGCAACTCACCTAACCCTATTTGCCTCAGTCTCCTCCTTATAAAATCAGCTGGAGAAGGAAATGGCAAACCACACCAGTATTTCTGCCAAGAAAACCCCAAATGGGGTCACAGACAGTCAGACATGACTGAAGCAACTGAACAACAAAACTGATTTACTAAAACATTTTGAACCTTTAATTAAATAAAGCAGGGGGAAAGTATTTAATAAACAGCAATGAATTCAATTAAACAAACCCACTTGAAACACAAAGATATGCAAAGTTCTGAGTGTTGAGCTGGGCGTACAAAGAGGAAAAAAACAAACCACAGTCACTGCCCTCTAGGTGCTTCTAATTCATTTGGGAGGACTGAGGAGGAGAAATAGCACATGTACACAAGTAACTGATGCAACGCAGAATATTTTAAGCATGAGAGAGATCTAAACAAAGCTTATGAGAAGTTTGAGATGGAAGAGCTCATTTCTGGGTAGGTGATCAAAGAAGGCCTTGTAAAGGAGATAGCACCTAAATTCAGTGTACCTTGAATGAAGAGGGGATAGGTCGTAGATCATGGGTTGGATGGTGGGGTTGTCCATTCCAGAAATGAAGAACAATGTGAATAAAGGCTGAGATATAGGAAAAGGTAGGATGGAGTGGAGGGAAAGAAATGGCAGTGAATTTGGCTCCACAGAATTTGTGAAAGGAAATAGCATATGAAGATGAAAGTTAGACTATGGAAAACTTTGAATTTCAGGATTGGTGTTACATATTTTATTAGGTAGATAATGAAGAGGCACTGGACATTTCTTGAGCAGAGGAGTTGCATGATCAGAGAGTAATGTGTTTGGATGATTTCTTTGGCAATTTTATGATGGTTGCATTGCTGGTTAATGGAGATTGTAGAAAAGGAAAGGAAATCACTTTGGAGATTATCATAGTAATCCCAGTAAGAGTGATGTGAGCCTGAAGTAGGATGATTCTAAGAATGTAAAGGAGGGAACAAATGTGAGAGAGCCTGTTTGGTGTAACAAACATCTATCTAGCAGGTAGTAATGCAAGGTACATGGTATACATTGCAGAGATTAACTCAGCAGAACTTGGCAATGGTTTGGATTTAGGAGTATGGAAAAGGGCATAATTACAGACAGCCCTGTGGTTTCCAGGCCAGGTGATAAGAAGGCCAGTGATTTCACCAATAAAAACAAGTCAGCATGAGAAGCAAATTTAGGGGGAAAGATGAGTTCAGTTTTAGATGTGTTAAGTCTGGGGTGTCAACAGGACATCCAGATGCAGCTATTAATCAACCAGTGAACTCACTCATTGACAGTCCAAGAGCCAAAGATGAATTAATACAGAAAATGCATTTTTCAATCCCAATTAACATGAATCAAGGCGTATACAATAGCATATCATGTACATGAATTATTTCTTCAACAATAGCATAGCATTTTTAAATTTAAAGTAGTTGCTAGGCTACCATACAATAACAAGATTTGTTGAATATAGCTTGTAGAATAGGGTCAACACTATAATTACACGTTTATATTATTTCAACTCAAATTTTTTTAATGCCTGCTATGTATGACAAAGGAAAAGGCAGGCCAAGTCAGGGTGGTATGAAATGAGTAGATGAAGAAGGAATTAGTAGTGAAATTAGCAAGAAGACAATGTGGCTATCACAGTGCTATAGGACCTGGTCCTGTGATTCCATCAGTAGAGGGAATTCTTAGACAGAGAAACTGTTTCTGCCTAATTCAGGTTAGCATCTTCTCTGGAACTGAGGGGTAAAGTGTCTTGCCCAGGTTCATACAGAATAGAGTGGAACATTGCTCCTCTACTCTGCGTGCTGCTCATTCTGCTTGGACTGTAGTAGATGTGACATACTTATTCCAAGAAACTGAAAATAAAGTGAGAAGGATCATGCTAAATACTTATTTAAAAAAAGGGAAAACAAACTGAGAAATTCCATGCCTGAAACTCTCTCCCTCCTCATCTCTGCTTCCTGCTTTCCTTCAAGTCTCAACTAAAGACCTGCTTTCTTTAAGGAACCTTTCACAGTCCTCCTTAATCTTAGTGCCTTCCCTCTGAGATGATTCGCAATTTGTCTTATATAAATCTTGTTTGTATATGGTTGTTTATAAGCTTCTCCCTAGAGTGTAAGCTCCTTGTGGGCAGGGACTATCTCTTGATCCTTTTTTATCCCCAGTGCTTGATATATAAAATAAATGTTTATTGAATGAATGAGTGTTGTCTCCCGCATTAGACTGAACTCCTTGAGAGTGGGAACAGTTTGTTTTTAGCCTTTCTTTGTGTGGCACAGTGTCTGGCATATAACAGGTGATTGATAAATGCTAGTTGTCTGACTGATTGGCCAATTACAATAGATAACATTTCTATAGCACTCTAAAAAGGATTTGCGAAATGTTTTACATATGTTAGCTCATCCTCACAACAACTCTGCGAGGTAAATGCTATTGTTGATTTCATTTTACATATGAGGGAACTAAGGTACAGAAAGGTTGTGACCTGCTCGCAATCACACAGCTATTAAGTGCTTGAGGCAGTATCCAAACTCCAGTCTTCCCAAATCTAGATCCTGCAGTCTATCTACTTGGCCACCTTGCTGCCAGTTTAAAAGGTTAGTTTAAACGGAAGAAATAATATGTTGAAGGTAGAGAAGTGGCCTTCAAATCTTGCAGCTCTTCACCTCCCCCTCACTGCTCTGAAGGTGAGGACAAAGAGTAGTTTTTTTAAATGGAGTAGAATGAGCCATAGTCCTGCCTTCTCTTGTACCTGCTTCTCCTCCCTCAGTACTCAGCCAAACTCATGCACCTCTTGTGAATGTTTGCCTCCGATCCTGGAAATGATCTTACTACAGTGCCAATTTTTTCTGTTTGGTTTTGCCCAAAGGCTGAAGAGATAACTTTAACGATTGGTCAAGCCTTCGATCTGGCCTACAGGAAATTTCTAGAATCTGGAGGAAAAGATGTTGAAACAAGAAAACAGATTGCAGGGTTGCAGAAAAGAGTGAGTAACTGAAACTTGTTGATCACATGTATTTGAGCTAAGTACAGGGAAACTTGCAGACCATCAAACAAATTGAGAAGTCCTACCATTCCATTTCCCCACACAGATTGGAACTGCTTTCATTTTGTTCCTCTAATTGTCCACTCCTTCTGATCCCCTGCACAGTTTTTAACCATTTTATATTGAATTCCCACAAGAACTTAGTGTTCTCATGTGACTTTGCTTCACTTCCTGATGCTTCTCATGGGGATCAGAGCAGCAGAAGGAGCAGATGCTGGGTAAGTGGTTTCCCACGCAGATCAGATTCCTTTTGTTATTAAATTACCCCTTCCCCTCACTCTCTTCAAAATCATCATAAGCAAGTTTCACTGTCCTGTGGTTATACTGCTAGATTATGGGTACAATTTGCAAAGTGAATTCAGAAAATCAGAAAGATGGGAGCAATCAGGAAGAAGAAATTAGCCCAGAATATAAGTATTATAACATTTAAAATACATGCATTGCTAATGACTTGGAGTTCTAAGCTATTCCCAGGCTTTACCTAAATAACTGTATCCCTTGTGCATGAAACTTTACATTACATTTTGAAATGATGTACAGGCAGAAGTTTAGAAAAGTCAATCCAGAATGCAGTCAGGAGTTTATGATATTTAAGAAAAAAAAGAAATTTCTAATTTGATGTTTTATAATCATTTGCTTTTTTAGATACAAGAGCTAGAAACTGAGAATACAGAACTCAGAAATAAAGTCCAGGATTTGGAAAATCAGCTAAGAATTACTCAGATATCAACATCTCCAGTAAGTATATGTAAAACCTATGCTGATTCAAGGGAAAAATCAAATATATTGGGTTTCTCTGCACAGGTGCATGTTACATTTTTTTCCCTAATATCTTTATATTTAAACCACATCTCTGATATCACCGAGAAAAAGAAAGCTTATCAATACAGAAAGGGATAGGGGCTGGGCCTATTATTTCTTTAGTATAAGGAGACATCCAGGTAAAATGACTACCTCTACCTGGTTGCTACCTTTTTTGAAACTTAAAGAGTAGTCTAGCACAGGTTAAACAGCCAGCATGTGTCCAAGGCAGAATTTGAAACCTGGTCTTCTGGGCTTTGAAGCCAGCTCTCTAATCACTACTCTGTCACTATCTCCGATGAATATAGGTAATCCTCAAAATAGCTTTAGATTAGATTCATTTTGTTCTGGATAACTAATTTCAGGTTCAGTGTAATTCTGGGCCTTGTTGTGGATTCAGCAAGTTTCAGTAATAGTTACATTTGGACTTTGAGGTCTGTTGTGCGTCATGGCTAAATTCAAGGAACCCTTCTTTAAGTGATGTAGAAGAATTAAAAGAAGTCCCAAAGCAATAAGCTGTGGCCCAGGAAGTAGCTTTTGTACTTTGCAAAATCTGGGCTATTGTATTACGTAACGATTTTCCAAACAAGTAAATTAGTCCCACAGCATGAGAAACTAGTGTTTTGGGCACACAAATTACTTGTCATTGTAGTCAGTTCTTACATTGTTAGTAAATTATTTATTTTGTAGTTTATTCATAATTTCAAAATCCATATTTAGCTTTTACATTTCACCTAAGATGCTTAGATGCATTTCTTGCCATTAGATGGTATATAATTAGGGTATGGGAGCATTTTAATACTCATCTAAGCCAAATATAATTGAGAAAATTACGCTACCGGTTTTGATCATTTATACCAATACTACCCTTCCTTTGTTTCCTTCCCAGAAGTTTTCCATGAGTCCTACCTGTTTGGTTTGTTTATTTGTTTGTTTGTTTGTTTGTTTGTTTGTTTGTTTGTTTTGGAAAGTCCATATCAAATGCTGTGTTTGACCATATCAATAGTGACGAGATTTCTAAAAATTATTATTTAGTTATATTGTTTCAGTAAACAAATAACTACTAAACAACAAGGGAATGTGTTTGCCCATCACATTAATGGGCCACAACAAAACCAGACTACTTTAAGAATTGATTCTTTTGATAATTTATGCAGACTGCCAAATCATAGGTTTGACCATTGTAATTGGTGATTGATTAATGTGTTCCTGGCAGCCCAGGTTGTAACTAGGAACACATTTACTCATAGAACTGTGGTTATATATTGTGGTTAGGTTCTATATTGCCAGTAGTGCTAGTACCACTTTCTTTTATTTTACCAAATATGTCTGTAATAAACAACTCAATAATTTAAGGTTCTTCATGTGATAAACACACTAAAGCTAAAACTGCTAACTTTGTGATCAGATTATTATATTTTATTCTGTCAAAAAATGCCTGGATATTCCTTATTTCCTGTTGCCAGAAGTAATCTTTCTTTCCTCAGAGCTGACATAGTACATTATACCTAACTTAAAGGGCTTTTCTTTATAACCTTGCATTTGAATTATGCCCACATATTTCCTGACTCTCATACTGTAAGGCATAACATGATATATCCCAGTGCCTATGACATAGAAGAGGTTGATTAAATATTTGTTGAATGAATAACTGAAAATTGACTTTATCACAGCAGGGTACTTAATAGTACCTAAAGTGCTTTCTGGATCCAAAGCAATATGGCCTGAACCCTAGAATACAGTTGGTTTCCAATTTACAAATGGTTTGTGATCCAAAAGTTCATTTTTAAATTACTCATTTGAAACCTGAAATATGTTTTCCCACAGAAACAAAATGTTACACAATATAATTCATTTTTTTAGGTCAGCCTAAAAAAAATTTGTTTAACTCAACCTGAAGTAAATGAAATAATGAATAATACTATAGAACCTAACCACAATTTGTAACCATGATTCAATGAGAAACATGTGCCAACTGGAGATACCGGGAACACATTTCTCAGTCAACATTCATGGTGGTCAAATGTATGATGTAGCAGTTGGTAAAAATTATGAAAAGATCCTTTTCTTAAAAGATCTAATTCTTAAGACAGCACAGTTATGCTATGGTATGTTAATGTGATGGATATAGACCTTCCCTGGTTTCCATCAGTTATTCACAGAAAATACAACAAAATAGCAATTCTTAAAGATTACTCCTGTATAAAAATGATAAAATAAAACAGTCAAGAAAGTAGAAAGTAACAAATGTTTCTTTCCTTCCCTCTGAGTTTCTTTTATTTTACCAAAAATACACATATTAAAGAACATTCAGTAATTTAAAATTTTAGGTATTATTAGCATACCAATGATAAAAATAGTGACTTTATAATCTGGTTATTTTTCTCTGTCAAAAAATGCTTGAATTTGTCCTTTGAACTAACATTCTTTTATAAGAGCTCCACCAAAAAAAAAAACACAACAAAAATCAAAACAAAACTTTTGAATTTCATGTTTCATCTGAACCATTATGAGATAGATATGTAAAATGGTAAGTATAAAGTTAGCAAGCAGATAACATAGATAGCAAAGACTATATATATATATATATAGTATAAATAATATGTCCTTCATTAGAAGAGAGTCATTGTGTCACAGTGGAAAGAAAGCTAAGCCTTGGAGCCAGGAAGACTTGGGTTCAAATACTGTCTCTGATAACATACTTAACATGTGACTCTGATCAAGTCAATTAACCTCTTAGTGCCCCTGAATAACTATCTAAGGCATATCACAGAGAAGGTGCTAATCTACATTTCCTAAAAAGGAGTTTCCTAATCTGAGTTCCCTAGACCAATAAAATCATAGGTCCCGTGTTAGAAAAGTTCTTGCGAATCTGAGTGGGCCATTCTTTGAAAGGTAAAGAATTTATAGGGGCAATGAATTCACAATTTATTTTTGCCTTTTGTTTTCCAACTGCATTAAATGAAAACCCTGGCATAGTTTAATAACAAAATAAAATGTTTAACTATGAAACATTAAAAAAAAGCCCTCGATTGGAAATCAGAGAATTAGTTTCTTGTCCTGTTGGGCTCTGAGTCTGTCTCCTCATTTGTGAAATGAGTTTATTGGATTATGTGATCTCTCTAGTGCCGTTCCCTTCTAAACTTCTTTATTCTATGAACCTTAAAAATTACAACCTTCATTACATTTCAAAGAATAAAATTTACCTCCCAAAGAATTCCCAAAATATTTTTAAAGTTTGAGATGTTTATCTTCCAAACTTATGACATTTTGTATTAAGTTCTAAAGTAGCTAAAATTATTTTGTTATGAATATATTAACCTTTATGGTGACCATCACTCTGCTAGCAAAGTGAAGTTTCATGAGTAATTGATATTATTGATTAATACTTTGAATAGTTGAATTAGACACCTTTAGAAAATTATGAAAAATGGTTATTTTAAATAATAAGATTTAAATGATCAATAGTCAAGCATTTACTACCAACTATGTGGTAAGTAGTGCTACACTATCTCTATTAATATAGATATTTCTGACTTAATGGGCATCTCTCAGCAGAATTTTAGAAAAGTGAATGCTGAAAAATTAATACTCTTTTCACTATGACCTTGATTAAAAAATTTGAAAGTCAAATTAAGACAGCCAGTAGGAAAATGGTGAGGGTATGAATTGCACTGGCCAATACATAATAGATATTCTTTAAATGTCTATTGGTTGATTGGTTTCTGTTAGTTTAAAAACATAGGAGTTAGTGTATTATTGCAATCAGAAATTTGTCAAAGAATCTAAATGTTCTTATGGTAGATGAAGAGTTAATTAAGAGTTAAAGCTTAAATTATGCTTGAGAGTCAATTAAATTCAATAAATATTTTGAAGTAATGGCTATATTCAAGTCATTGGAGTAAGTGGTAGATCGAAAATACAAAGAGAAAAGAAGAAACCACCCCTATGAAGAGCTTACAATCAGAGGGAGAAGATAGAGGAGAGAGAGAGAAAAAAAAAAACTAAGGTAAAGAAAGAAGGGAGGGAAGGATGGAGGGAGAAAAGGCATTTATATATGTGTATATATATATATATATATATATTTATATATGTGTATATATATATATATATATATAT